GGCAAGTTCTGTTCTTCTCTTTCCTAGGAATTTGTGTTCTGTGCATGCTTAGTTAGACTCTAGGAATTAAACTAAGTTTTAATTACATTGTTTAAACATGTTAAATTAGTTTCTAACATCATTGGATTATAATCTGTTTCTCAGTTTTTACAAGTTCAGTTTTTATATGTTTATCGTTGCTTAAAACATTGATCTGTAATTCAATTCATAGATGTATAACTTTGCTTTGTGATCAATTTAGGAGGAGGATAGGACCTTAAAACATATAATAAAACTAAATTGAAAGACTGGAAACCACCAGAGTCGGAGAAGACAACAGAAAATAGCCACGACTCTTAGAAGTGATAGCAGGCTCCAAAGATGGAGGGAGCCTGCTCCCAAAACACAAGAGCCAGCTCTCTAAGGTTGAGAGCTGGCTCTCAACCATCTAGAGCTGGCTCCCAAGGAAGGGGAACCGGCTCTCCTTGTTTGGAGAAGGCTCTCTGAAACTCAGAGCCTTCTCTTTCTCTTAAAATTGCGTAGAACTGAGTTTTTTATGTTTTGTTTGGCTGGGACTGTGTTTCCTAAAATTGTTTAAAGGCTTCTAGGTGATTTAATACATTGTTTAAGACTTATAAAAAGATTGGGAAGCAAGCTTACATTCAGGATTTTATGACAGAATTAACATAAGTTTGAACAAAGGTCTGTATGTGGAAGATTGAGCAACTGACTTGAAATGCAGACTGTTTTGGAAATTTAATGCCTTTGCATGATCTTAAGTTTTGAATCATGTTTTGTAGCTGAGTTATAAGCATTCTATTGTGTAATTACATGTATGCTTGGTTGGGATTAACTGATAATTAAATCTGTTATATATCTCATCTGTTATTACACTGTTTGGAGGAGATTTGATGCTTTGCGTGATCTTAAATTTTGAATCATGTTTTATAGCTGTGTTTTAAAGTATATTTTTAATTAATAATGTGTATGCTTTGTTAGAATAAACTGATGCTTAAATCTGTATATAAATGCACCAGTTATGGTACTATTTGGAGAAGCAAATTGCATAAACCTGTTTTATCAATCTAATGGACTGAAACTTGAATTCTGAATTTTCAGTGGAGGCATGGTTTAGTGACTCACAAGTTAAACTATACTTTTGAGTATTTTGGAATGTTGTTGATAGATAATTATACTATTTTTGTCAACTATGTTAACTGGAGGATGGTATGCACCGGTATGGGACGGTGGCATACTAGGTATGGATTGGTTCAGACAACAAGCCTACCTAATCTGGATTGAAGTTCGGATTAACAATAAAAGTTAAGTTTGACTTCTGTGAGTGACAGATCAATAAATAACTGAATGATATAATTGGATTTCTGGGATGAATTGTTGTACATATATCACGCCACTACATCAGATGGATGATATTCTGTATTAGGAGGACACGAATTTTATATATTTATGTTATGATGCCATGGTATGAGCTTGAGTCTCATGACCATGGTTAGGGTGCGTATATCGCCTAGGATGGATAGCTAGACAGTAGTTGCTGTTCCCTGGTAGGTCTAGGTATGCATAACCACGTAATGTGCGATTTGCATGGTATCTCTACTCAGGCTGAGACAGACCTATTGGACTAGTGAGCGTCCTATAGTGTGTAATATATATATATGGACTACTCTAGATATTGTTGAGTCTATCTAAGATGTATTTGCGTATCGGATTCTTGTTTGGATCGTAGTAGATCAGGACTTGCATGTGGGCCTGACCCACTCTTTATTTTTCAGGTGCTCGTCAGTTCCAGGGTTAGAGGTTGGTCGTGCAAAGCAGATACAGACTTCTATTCCACCGACTACGTAGGACTACTTACTTATCAATTTTGGATTTTTATTTCAATGGATTCATTTATAGTTGGGATTTTTAGTTAGGGGTCCACTAGATGGATTCCCGAATTGTCAATTAATTGGAGGTTTTGGAGTTTGGATTTTATATTATTATTTTAAGGATTTTCAGCTAGAGTTCTTTTCAGCCATTTTATTTACTTTTTATTATTCCATATTATATTCTGTGTTCATTAAAATATTAATTGTTTGATATTTCCCCTGGGTTTGGGCCTGGGCCTGATTAACCTGTGTCTCGGATCCGAGGGGTATCATAGAGTGCTTTTGGGTTGAACCAAGTGCACCGGAGGTGTAGAACAGGAGTTTCGGACGTGGACGAAAGCTTCAGAGACTGTGGTTTAGAGTTTGAAAACTGAAACTCAAGGCAAGTCTCTATTCTATTCCTTCCCTTTAATTCGTGTTCTGTGCATGCCTAGTTAGACTCCAGGGATTAATCAAGTATTAAAATAGATTAAATTAAAGTTAATATTAATCTTGTAAGCATGTTTGAATCAACTTTTAAATCGTTGCATAAATCTGTTTTGTGTTGAAAGTTGTTCTCGCTTAAGAATCTATTTGCATTGGTTTTAATCTTGCTTAACCTTGGTATATTTGGGATTGGATGCATACTTATAATTAATTCTAGGACATCAATTGAACCTTGAAATAAGTTATAAAAACTGTACAGTGACTTTGAACTTCGCCAGAGGCGAAGAAGACAAATAGGTTAGGGGATAAGGCTCTCAAAGGAGGAGAGCCGGCTCACCAAAAGAAGGAGCCGGCTCTAGGGCTTGGAGAGCCGGCTCTACAAGGGGTAGAGTTGGCTCCACATGAGGTGGAGGTAGCTCTACCAAGGGGAGAGCTGGCTCCTTTGTTTTAGGAGGCTGCTCTACCCTATTTTTCTTGATTTTTCATGTTCTGGGCTTGAGTTGGACAGTAGGGGTTGGTTTAAAAGGTTCCAGTGGCTGTGAATGGGTTATATACTTGTTATAGACTTGTAAAAACTCTTGGGAAGCATTTTGAATTTATTATGTTGAAGCATGCAATAATATAAGGTTCAACAATAAACCTGTTTGTGGAACATTGGATGAAGGAATTGAAACTGGATTACTGTTTTTACTATTTTTCCAAAACAATTTGGATACTTTGCATAATTTAAAATCATTAAACATGTCTCAGCTGTGTTACAAGCATATAGTTATTTATCTGGAAAAACAAGCATGGTTAGTTGGAATTAATTGATGCTTACGTCCACTGATTGTTGCATCAATTGTGGTACTATTTGGAGGAGTTAATTGTGCAGTCTTATTTCGTTTATATAAAGAACTGGAATGTGATTTCTAAATCTTATACTAAATGCATTAATTGGCCATATACATGTTGGACTATATTTATGCTAATTCTGGATTATGGTTGATAAGTATCTATTACTGTTTTGTCAACTAAAGGATTGTATGTACCGATATGGGCCGGTGACATACTAGGTATGGACTAGTTCAAATACTAAGTCCTACCTAATTTGGATTAAGGTATGGATTAACCATATAGGTTAAGTCCATCACCTACTTGTGTCATGTCAACAAAATAGTTGAATGACTTAATGTGGTTTCAGGACGGATGATTATACATATATCAGACCACGACACAGATGGATGGTATTTTGTATTAGGAGGAGTGCGGACTTTATATATTTATTATATGGTGTCATGGTATGAGCTTGAGTCTCAGGACCATGGTTAGGGTGCGTATATTGCCTAGGATGAATAACTGGACATAGGTGTTGTTCCCTGGTAGGTCTAGGTACACATGACCACATTATGCGATTTGCATGGTATCTCTACTCAGGATGAGACAGACCTATTGGACTAGCGAGCGTCCTATAGTGTGTACTAGATATACATATGGACTACTCTAGATATTGTTGGGTTATCTAGGATGTATCTGCGTATCGAATTACTGTATGGATTGTAGTAGAATAGGACTTGCATGTAGGCCTGACCCACTCTTTTATTTTTTAGGTGTTCGTCAATTCGAGGTTTAGAGCTTGGACGTGCAGTGCGATTACAGACATTCATTCCTCTGACTACGTAGGAATCCTTTCTATGTTTAGCTTTAGATTCTATTTTCTGATGTTTTAGTTTCTATTGGGATTTTTAATAAGGGGTCCATTGGATGGATTCCCGAGTTGTTAAACTTATGGAGTTTTGGAGTATCGAATTTTAATAATTTTATTTTGAGGATTTTAAATTAGCATTCCTTCAGTTTATTATTATTTTTTTCTTATTTCACTTTGTATTCTGTGTTCAGTTATATATTGATTGTTTAATATTCTCTCGGGTTTGGGCCTGGGCCTGATCAACCCATGTCTCAGATTTGAGGGGTATCACACCTTACTCGTCATGACTAGGTCATTTTGGAGGCACCCAAGAGATGTTGTACACGGATTCAATCACATATTGGTGCGTTTGAGTTTATTTGATTGTTGGTTTATTGCTTAAGTTATTCAATAAAACTTATTCCTCAGTCATGTTTTATATATACTTTATTCTTATATTATGCTAAACTTTTTGTGAGTTTATTCTTTCTTCTAAAGGTTCATTATCTGTTAGTTGGAAAATTCTACTATTGATGGGTCTTGCTTAGTTTGCTTTTTGCTCTTCTGATTTTTTGGGGCTTTCCGAAATTATGTTTTCAAATTTGCATATGCATTGCTCATTTGTTTGTTAGTCTTTGTTGTTATATGTGGGGTTGAAATTTTGGTGTTGACAAGTATCATTTGTTGCTCTTCCCGTGCAGGTCAAAAGCAGAGCTTTCTGAGATTCAAGGTCAAAGTTCTTTCTCTTTTAATTATAGTGGTCCTTTTAAAAATCTTTGGGTTTTGGTGACCATCATAATCAACTAAAAATTTAATCTATTTTATTTATTTTTCAATGACATAAGGTAGTTAATAAAAAAGGTTATTGTTCATTATCTTACACCATACTCTTGTTTTTAGAATTCAAGACTTGGCTATTTATGAATCAAGGGAATTTTGAGTCAGAGCTCAGATTGCAGATAAAAAAAAAAAAAAAAAAAACACAGACATCTTGTTGGACAACTAAAACTGGAATTATTTTAAAAACTTGAGCTAATTGGGAAGGGGCCGCGCGAACGCAGGCCCCCACTATCACAAATTATAACGTAGGCTCCACCACTTGGGTAGACTTTAGATGGACACCCCTCCTAAGTGCAATGGAGGTCACCAATCTAGGCTATGGGCCATCTTGAAGACCCATTGGCCCCGTTCAGATAAGTATGTTATACCATATGCTTTCAATTTGTTATATAGAGCTCTCAATGTAACTCCTACTTATGTTTTCCCGATGTGGGACTTCAGAAGGAACATTCAATAGGTTAATATGGTGATGTCTGATAATACAATAGTTAAGTAGTTACAAAGAGAACTGGATAGATTGGAGAGTGTGTAGAAGAGTTTGGGATCGATTTCTGCCACTTCTAATACCATGGCATTTCGTAATCATTTTTCATTTGATGGAGAGTTGTGGCAACCTAGTTTTGTGGTTGGTCGAATTGTCTCCCACTTCTGCGATTTTTTGGATGCTTAGAGGAAATTGGATCCACGTCAGACTATCTCTAGCCCTACTACAATTCATTCTGTTCATGGATGGCAGCCTCCTAGAAAGGAAGTTATTAAAACCTTTGATTTGGCTTGTAAAAGAATTTACCAATAGAACAAGCAATAAGACATAAAACATACATCGTTTGATTTTGATTTCCGAAGTTCAGACGGAGAAGAAGTGGTGCTCTACTATAAGAGATGGCAGTAGAAGACCGGGGGATGTTAAGTTGCAATAATGTTCCAGGCTTTGTTGGTTGACATTAGAAACTTAGTTTCCTCATCTCATATATGTTTCTTCTCTTATGTAATGAACAAAAGAAAAAACCAATTAATTTGTAAATAGACTAGAACATAGAAGCAGAGATCTTTAGAGGTTCAACACAAGAAATATAGAAAAATACTTTTAAGCTTTGAGGACCAGCAGATGAGCAAGTGTTTGGGCTTTAGATATTGGGCAGGGACTGCTTGAACGCAGGCCCCTACTACCATAAATTATGACGTAGGTTCCACCACTTGAATAGAACCAAGTCAGGAGTTCAAGATGCCATAGATTAATGACTAAGGTCAAAGCTATTTCTCCCTTAATTAAGGGTGGTCCTTTTGAAAATCTATTAAAATGTAGGGGAACTTGTTGGATATTATTGATTTTAATTGTTTCTTTTTCATTTTTTGTCTATTATTCATCTGATGTTTCACTTTTTTTTTTTTTTTTTTTTCTTTTTGGTGATGGAACTTCTACCTTAGTACCTTTATGTTTGTTGTTCACTGGAGAGGTGTTAGGGTTGTGATTAGGCATGATGTGAACTTAAATTGTGAAATTTTTTTTATACACGAACTTAAATGGAAGTCATTATTGTAAATGAATGCATATTTGTTGTCGGTTTGGTGTGATTAGGCATGACGACTTCGGAATCCATATAACATTCAAATGTGCATTTTGACACCATGTTTGTTGTCGGTTTAGTGAAGGTGGGGAAGTCTTTAGATGCAATAAAGTATGTGGAGAGAGTGATGAATAGAGGACTTGAGCTTACTAGGTTTTATTACAATATATTTTTGCATTATTATTCAAATGAAGAAGAGGTGATTATGTTTGAGGAGGTGGAGAAAAAAATGAGAGAGGTTGTGGGTTATTTGATTTAGCATATATATTTGCGAGATATGGGTAGAAAATGGCAACTCGAGATAGGAGGAGAAACAGGGCAATTGAACCTCTCTGATGAAAAAGATAGGCATAACTCAGGTGATAATTCTTGTTTCATTAATTCTCTTTCTTTATTTGATTTTTTCTTGCAGTAGCATTTGTTTATTGTTTATATATTGACTGTTAAAGGTCCAAACATTGTGAAGAGTAGTAGTAAAGAGTTCAGTAATGGTTAGGGCTGCAAGTTGGGCTGGCCCAACCTAGCCCAATCCCAACCCAACCTCAACCTCAACCCGAATCGGGTTGGGTTGTGCCAGCCCGAATTGTACCCAACATGGGTTATGGTCAAAACCCAGCCCGAATATTTTTGGGCTGGTCAGGTTGGGTTGACGGGCTGAGGTTTTTTTTCTTTCTTTTTTTTTTTTTTTTTTTTTTTTGGTAATTTTTTTCCCCCGAAAATTTATATTATATATATATATATATATATATACATATTTGATTATATTTTTATTAAAATGCTAAATATTTTTTAGGGCAAATCATTTCAGCCTCCCCAATCGCTTCCATCTTTGGTCTCATTCTCAACTCTCTCTCTCTCTCTGCAACTGCAAACTACAAGATCTACAAGAATCAGAAGTTCAAAGCCCATATATTTTAGTTTATCTATCTGTCTGCAAGAATCAAAAGGTCAAAACCTATTACCTACATCAAAACCCATATCGGCATATCATTTAAGATTGTTCAAAAAATCAAAACCCATATCTTTCAATTTCCATCGCCCGCAGTTCCAGTTCAAGTTTGCTGTTCGCAAGCTTCAGTCGCTATCTCTCAACTCTCAAGCTTGCCCCCCTTTTTCTTTACAACTGCTAAGAGGTTGTAGGTGTAATGATTATCGTATAGTGGGGGTAGTAGTCGTTGGTAAGATTATGTGATGGTGTAGATGTGTATTAGATGGTGAGTATTGGTTTGACTGTGACATGTAGGTTTGAGTTTGAGCTTGATTGTAAGATTGATAGGGTTCCTTGTCCGGGATTTTGTGTATCTTTTAAACGATGAGTTAAGTTAGGATATTGTCATGTTCAGGGGTCTTGTGACCATTCTTCTTTCGGGCTCCGAAGTCTTGTGTAGTAGTGTAGAGGGGACTAGTGTTGGTTTTAAGTCGAGTGTTAAATCCAGCAGGTTTTGTGTATGATGTTGTGAACGGTGAGTACCCTCATAGGGTGGTGAGCATTGGGTCCTTCTGGCAGTAGTGTGTGATTGCCTATTGGTGCCAGGTCAAAGACAATAAGGTTGTTGAGTTTCTAGTCTTATGGTTTGATAAGGTGTTTTTCAGAAAGGTGTGTGGCTGTGGGCCTCATTCTTTAAGGAAGGTAGATTTCGGGGACGAAATCTTTTAAAGTTGGGGAGAATATGATGTTATGACTTATATATATATATATATGTATTAGATGGAAAAAAAAATGGTGGGACCCACCACTTTATTCATTTGTGGTAAAAAGGCATTTTGGCCTCACTTTTCACTCTCTAACTCTCTCTCTCTCCTTGGCAATTCTCTCATTTCCTCTCTTTATTTTCATTTTTATTTTCTTTTTCATTCAAAACTTCAACTCTTGATTAATCTTCAACCGGTGAGAATTTTTGGGTGCCATTTGCGGCAAATCGAAGAGCTCGGTGAGATCTTCAAATGAGTGTAAGCAATTTCAGTTTTGGTACATCCTAGGAATTCGGAAAATTTGGACCCATTTGAGGGTTTTCTACAAAATTGAGGTAGGAATGTTCTAATCCATGACTTCTTAGATTTTTGTGAATTTTCCTTTTTAATTTGACCTTAAACATGCTTAATTTTAATTATCTTATCCATTGCTATTGTGGTTGTATGTGCTCAAAATGACAAATGTGTTTTACATGCTAATTGGGTTATATACATGGCTATTTACATTATTTGGAAGAAGTATGCTTAATTTTGGTATATTGTGTGACTTGTGAATTCTCAACTACTATGGAAATTGATGTTGTGGTTGTGAAATAATTGTTTGGAATTTCCTACCAAAAAATAATAATAATATAATAATAAAATGATGATGATGTAGAAGAATATGTAGAATTTTATTGTTGAATTGTGCTTAGAAGCATGAAGCATTCATGCATCCATTGGGAATAAAAGAGAAAGGGAAAAAGTGTTTAAGAAAACAAATGAAATTAATTTTTTTTTTGGGAAATTTTTTTGGAATGTGTTTGCGAAAACCGGACACCTATGAGGCGCCTAGTGGTCCGTGGTGTTAGTGTAATCTAGAAGGGAGTGTGGTTGAGTTAACTGGGACGGATGTGACACCTTGAGGTGCCTTGTGGTCGTGGATAGATAGCCAATCCTCCTTTCGTGATGCCTTGGAGGTGCCTTGGGTTGAATTACACTAACGGTTTGGAAGTTGAAACGGAGATGTTTCGGATAAGGGGAGCGACATGGGCATGGCATTGCACTTTATTGTCATACATGGTATACTTATGACTTTGATGACAATTGTGGTTATATTTCACATTATGGTTATGGATTGTATCCCCGGTATAGTATGATCCCGTTCTCTTGATTTCTATTCTATACGTGGATTCATGGGGTCATAAGAGGTGTGTCTTAGACACCTCCTATTGAGCTTATACTCACCCCATTATTTTAACCTTTTTCAGATTTGGGAAAGGAAGTGGCGGACGACATTCCTCTACAGGTTTTGATGGGTTAGTGGACTGTTTGACCTATTTTGTAGCTATGATCACATATTATTATTATTATTATTATTATTATTATTTATAAACCCTTAGAGGACACATATATTATGTATTGCCATAGGAAAGACTGGTAACGTCTTTTGTTGACCTCGGGTTCGGGTAAGGACCCGGATAGCGATTCGGACCATCGGGTTCGGGTTGTTACAGTATGGGTTTTGTTTTAATTGTTGGAAGTGACGGCGGCGATGGCAGCGGCAGCAGAGGGACGACGGCGGCGGTGGATCAGCAGCTAAGGGCGATGGATGACAACAGCGGTAGAGAAAAAGAGAAAGAGAAAGAAGAGAGAGGAGAGAGAAAGGAGAAAAAAAATTAAAATTTTCTTTTATTTTGGGTTGGGTTCGGGTTGAGTCTGAACCCAACTTGAACATGTTTGCGTTTTGACAAAACCCAACCCGAACATGAGCCCGATTTGTGGATTTTAAGCCCAAATTTCAAAATTTCTGGGTTGGGATTAGGTTAGGCTGGGTTAGCCAGCCCAAGTTGCAGCCCTAGTGCCATGGTGAAAGATGATATAGCTCAGAAGATAAAGTTTTTTTGGATGCTGTGCTAAATTTTTAGATAGTGGGTTTCATTTAGGATTTGAAGTGTGTTTGGAGGGTGTTAGAGAATTGGATAAGAATGTGGATGGTGATCTTGATAGCAACCAAATCACTAAAGGTCAATCCAAATGCTGGTAAGCATTTAGGTTTTATTTGTTTGGACGTAAAATATTTTTTAGAAAATATTTTTTTATTTTCTGGTGTTTGTTTGTCGTAAAATGTTTACGAAGAAAAAAAATATTAAAATTTAACAAAAATAACTTATTCATCAATTTTCGGCAAGTTATTTTACATACCCCGTCCAATGGACTCGACCTCATTTCTTCGACGTAGACCTTTACCAAACACCGACAAAGTAAAAATAAAAGAACATTTTACCTGGAAAAAAAAAATATTTTTCAAAAAGAATATTTTATGTCGAAACAAACGGAGCCTAAGTGAGATTATATAATTCTTTGATGCTAACTAGTTTTTGGGTAGTAGGATTGCTTAAAAGATTTTGCTTAAGGCTATGCTTGGAAGGCATGAAATTAGAATTGGAATTGGAGAAAAGCAACTTGGAAAATTGAAGCAAAATTTTCACCAATTCAACCAATTCCAATTCCAATTCCATGCCGCCAAATACAGCCGAAGTTAATTTATTGCTGTTTTAGTTTTAGAGGGGAATGTAATATAGAAAAAATGAAAATGAAATACCATTGTAGAACAATAGTCATCAAAATTCCTTGGCATAAATGAATTGACATTAAAAGGGGGTTTAACAAAACGTCTCTAATCTGATTTATTTCCTTTAGGTATTCTCTTCACTTGAGTTGTTATGAGAACTGCAACTACCAAAGCATCTCACTTTTGTAATTTGAACATGTAACTGTGGTGATCAATTTTTACCAAAGTGTATGCTATGAAATCAACGGGGGAAAGATTGGAATCAATGGGGTAACCAAATGTTTCTCTACATGAGAAAATAGACTATGTTTAACCTTTTACCAAAACCACGTTATTTGCTGAAGGACAGAAGTTTGAATATTTGTTCTTGATTCTCTATAAGCAAGGTTACTTTTTGTGCATGAAGTTCACAAAGGAGATAAGGAACCCACATCTACTTGCAAAAAATCATGACGATCACATTCAACAAATAGCACGAATACACACGCACACCGTCAATTTAGATGGCCTAAATTCATTCGAGTCTTTTTATACTTTCAGCTTAGTTTTATTTATATAGCACTGGCAATCTCAAGTGCAGCTGTGGATTAGCTCCACTAAACAGTAAACACATGAACCCACACACACAAATGTCCTTTTCCCTTTAGGTCCGTAATTCATGTCTTTGTTGTTTGTTTTGCATAATTACTTTGATCTGATACTTGACTCTTGAAATAAATGTTTAATAGCTTTTATTTGTGTATGGATCATTGTTTTCAATCCGGTCATTGACGCTGAAGCTTTACCATCAACTGATTCCCAAGTGCCAGAACAATCAAAACCCAACATCAAACTTTGGTTTCATTCGTTGTCACTTATTTTTATATGTTTTAGCCCAGAGCATAATAGATCATGGCCTTTATATATGTTTGTAACCTAACCCAAAAGAAGCAAATCTAGGGCAAAAACTCAACCCATATAAATAAAAAACTTGGACTAATGATTGGGCAAGGTCGCACGAATGCAGGCCCCACAAATTATGACGTAGGCTCCACTATTTGAGTAGACCATAGGCGGGCACCCCTCCTGAGTGCAATGGAGGTCACCACCCTAGACCATAGGCATTATTGATCGCCCATTGATCTCCTCCAGGTAAGTATGATGTGTCTTAGGCTTTCAACTTAATATATAGGACTCTTTAGATACCTCACATTTATGTTTTCCCAATGTGGGACTACAGAACCAAACATTATCCCACCAGTGTTTGTTGCCAATGCATAGGATAGTGTGGTTATGTCTCAGAAGGCATACTTAAGCTGTTGCAAACAGAATTGGATAGATCGTTGAGACAATGATGGAGACCCTTTTCAAGACTAATCAATTTTGTGATGCATTGAAGCTTTTTCGATCAATGAGGACCAAAATGATTGATGATTTGGGTTTATCAACGTACTTGTAATCATTTGAAGAATATATATATATATTAATTTATCGTGATTAGATAAAATAGACCACATACCAGTCTTACTATAGGATCTACTTAAACCTGTCAATAAAGTCAGATAACTAGTAAAATGTAAGACATGAGTTTGGCCAAAGTTGTGGAATTCTACGAATGCATCCAAAATGAACCCACGAGGAGTTCACATTTAGTGAACCTACCAATCAAATATGTATGCAAAGGTTTTTTTTAAGCAATAGCATAATATGATCACGGTCAGTCTACCTTTGTGGAAGACATAGTGTCTTCATGCATTTAGTCATTTCCCGTATTTATATAAAAGAGAAATACATTTTTCAAATTGAGAAGATTCTGAAGGGAAAATATGTGAGTGGGGACATTAGCCCACCACTGGCATTGTCGTGTAATGCAATGTGCCCCCACAACCCTATCTCACATTCTACATCCACAACTATGCGTTGAACAAAATCTACTGGAATATATAAAAATATGCAAATTTATGGAGCAACTTTTAAAGATCAACACAATTTATAAAGTTATCACAACAATCTCTCAGGCTATATATGTTTGTGAAAGAATCTAATGTATGATACAAAAGTCTCAATATTCTCGTAATTAAAAATGCTGCTTATGTGTATATATATAGTTACCAATGTTAAAAAATCAAGCTAGACTTATTAAATTCAATAAACAACTTAACCATATCCAATTTTCCTATATTCTTTAAATTGATGTGTAAATATATAATTAATATTTTCCGGTGTTTAAATATTAGATGTGCACATTTTGCAATTTGTACCACTTTTTCCAAGAGTGTTTTATTATTATTATTATTTTCTTTGGCATTATGTGGCAATGCAAAAAGTCTAGTTTCGCAACTTTTCAAACTTATCTGCATATGCATCTCCCATTTTGCGGAGGGGTTTTGGGGCACTCTGTTTTGCTTTGTTCATAAATAGGGCACTGTAAGGAAATTGTTAAAATATAAAAGGGATGATATGTATGTATATATATGTATGTAACATGGATTGAGGAGAGAAAGATGACGGCCTTGTACAAAAAGAGGCCATAGATTGCACCATTTTTCTTATTACAGTTCGGTCTAATGTTGGTGAAGCTTATCTTATCACCCAGGGGCGGCTCGATGTAACTCGGGGCCTTAGGCAAAAAATAAAAAGCGGCCCTTTTCATATCCTAATATGCAATATATTGATTATTAAATAATAATTAATTAAAATTTTTTTTTTCCTTTTTGAGATGCAAACTTACTAATTTAATTCTTATATTTAAGTGTGGTTAAAATATCTTTTTCAATAGACAATATATCCAATCCATTTAATCTTTCTTGTGACATAGTTGATTGTACATATGATTTTATTGTGAATAAGTCACTTTGGTATTTTTTTCTTTCACTATTGTATAATCTTCTAATTCTTTTCACTATTGTCTAATCTTCTAATTATTTTAGATGATTTGATTGTTGATTTGCTAGACTTTCATCTAAATTTTTTGTTAGGTTTTGATTATTAGTTATAACAAATTTATCAATAACTCCCTTTTGAAATTGAATTAGTTTATCTATTGTTCTTTCTTTTCTTTTTTAAAGTTTTTCAAATTTGGATTCATACATTCTAGCATATATATTAAAAAATATGGGTAAAAATAGTCACAAGAGTCACAACTCTCAAACAAATATACAAATATATGAAAAATATAAATATATACAAATTTATAATAACAAAAGTTAGTAAAACTAAAAAATAATTAAAGAAAAAATAACAATATAACCTGATTTAGAAAGTCCCAATTCAATACTGTTACAAATTCTTCAATAAAAGAAAAGTGCGTTCAAATTGAGATTTGAGACTAATGAATATTGAGTCGAGAAAAAAGAAAATTGCGAAGTTGTAACGAGAGAAGACTGAAAAAGGAGATGACTTGTAAGTTGTAAGTAACTTGTTGAGATGGCTGAGAGACGAGAAAAATCATAATGAGAAAAGATAAATAAATAAAAAAAATAAAAATCTAGAAAAGAGAATATGGAAAGTTTCTTCGCTTCCCCAACGGCTAAATATTTATTGTGGTGCAACTTACCCAAAAAATATTAAATATATATAGTGCTGGTGTAAAAAATAAAAAATAAATAATTGTGTAAAAAAAATATTTTAGGGGATAAATAAAAAAAAATGAGATATTTTAGGTGATAAATAATTTCTCTCTCCATTAAAAAGGCGTGAATATAATGAGAGAGAACAAAAAAAGAAGAGTTATTTTAGAATATAAATTTTTTAGAATTAGTATTCAATAAGGAAACAAATACTATAATATATCATATACACGGTAACTATAATATTTTGGGGCCTTTTTATTGGCTGGGGCCTTAGGCGGCCGCCCCTGTTATCACCTCGAAGTGTCCATAGGATTGCTAAGTAAGCTAAATTTTAATTTATTTTTAAAAATTAATGGAAAATTTTCATGTTACAACAAATTACAAAAGGACTCGGGTATATTCTCATTTGTAAGTTTGAGTTTTCAAAATTCAAAAAAGGGGTGGATTCACAATGAGGAGTTTTCATAATAGAGTAATTATAACAAAATAGAAACACCATTAGTTACTTAATTTAAATGGAGCAATGTTGAACACTAATCAATTTTCTTTTTACCAAAAATAATAAATACAAAATCTTAAATATCAATTCGTAGGTCCAAACCCATATAACCAAGACAGGAAGAATGGGCCTTACCATATAATCCAACCAATAAACGCTATATAGGATATACACTGGGCTTTGTCTACAGACTAACACAAACAAAACAGTTTAAAAGACTTGGGCTTTAATAATTGGACAGGGGCTGCGCGAACGCAAGCCTCTACTACCACAAATTATAACGTAGGCTCTATTACTTGAGTAGACCTTAGACAGGCACCCCTCCTGAGTGCAATGGAGGTCACCAACCTAGACCATGGGCCTCATTGATCACCATAGATCCGGTCCAGGTAAGTATGTTGGTCCTTGGCTTTCACTCATTATATAGGCTTGTCGAGATAACTCCAACTTATTTTTCCCGATGTGGGACAAGAGAACATCAGGACGGATCACTTCACCTGTGTAAGCTTAGGCCCCGTTTGACATGCGTTTTGTTAAAATCGTTTTTTGTTTTTGGGTTGCTACAGTATCGATTTTGATATCAAAAGCATGTTCGATGCAGCCTTATTTTATTTTACAGAGTGCTAAAATACTTCGTGAACAGTGACCCAAAACCAAAACACCAAAAAGTTATTTTTTTCTTGTTTTAACAATTGTTCATGGCCCAAAACTATAACAATAGCGCAACACGACTCGACATTTCCACAACAAAATATCGTCCCCAAACGTGCTTCCAATTTTTTTTTTAAAACACTTCTACAACAAAAACACTGTTTCCGTTTTAGCCAAAAACATAACGCCTAAAATAAAGTGCATGCCAAACGGGCCCTTACCCTTTGTTATTGTCAAATACTAATACAAAAGCAAGCTCGAAGAAATGATGGAGAGACCCTTGAAGATATGTTGAATGCATATCTTCTTCTTATCTTGGTTGGTTGGGGCTTCTGAAGGGTTCCAGGCGGATACTGAGATGGTTGAAGAAATGATGGAGAGACCCTTTTCAAGACTAATCAACTCGACGAAGCATTCAGGTTTTTTCAATCAATGAGGATAAAAAGGATGGATGATTTATGTTTATCAACGTACTGGGCTGTGATCAATTGGATGTGTAAAAAAAGAAAGCTTGGGCAAGCCCATTTGGTGTTTGAAGAAATGCATAAGAGAGGGATTGAATCGGATAATTTGACATCGGGGTCATTAATTTATGGGCTATTGACAAAGGCTAGTAGAGTTAGAGAGGCTTATAAGATTGTGGAATGGATTAAGAAACCGGATATAAGTGTGTATCATGGATTGATCAAGGGGCTTTTGAAGTTGAGAGGCATCTCAAGTGTTTGGAGAGATGATAAAAGAGAGGCTACAATGCATACATATATAGTATAATGTTACTGCAAGGGCATCTAGGGAAGAGTGGGAGGAAGGGATCAGACCCACTACTGAATTTTGACACCATTTTTGTTGGCGGTTTTGTGAAGGCAGGGAAGTCTTTCGAAGCAACAAAGTATGTGGAGAGAGGACTTTAGGTTCCTAGGTTTGATAAAAATAGATTTTTGCATCATTATTCAAATGAAGAAGCGGTGATCATGTTTGAAGAGGTGGCGAAGACATTGAGAGAAGTTGGGTTGTTTGATTTAGCAGACACTTTTGCGAGATATGGGGAGAAAATGGCAACTAAAGATAGGAGGAGAAACGGGCAATTGAACCTCTCCGATGAAATAGCCATAACCCAGGTGATAATTGTTGTTTCATGAATTCCTTTCTTTGTTTGATTATTTCTTGAAGAAACATGTGTTTGTTGTCTACTAATTGGTTCTTAAGGTCCAAACATTGAGAAGGGTAGTAGTAAAGAGTTCACCAGTGGTGGAGTTGGTGAAAGATCGAACAGCTCAAAAGATAAAGTTTTCTCGGATGCTATTGCTGAATTTTCGGATAGTGGGTTACATTCAGGATCTGAAGGGCGTGTTTGGAGGGTGTTAGACAATTGGATAAGAATGTGGAAAAGAGGTCAATGTAAATGCTGGTAAGTATCTAATGAGATTAGATAATTCTTTGATGCTAACTAGTTGTTGGATAGTGCAATTATGGCCTATTGACGATTGCTTAAAAGATTTTGCTTAAGTAAATTTATTGCTATTTTACTGTTACAGGGGAATGTAATACAGAAACAATGAAACCGAATTACCATTGTAGAACAATGAATTGATGACATAAAACTGGGTTTAACAAAACCTTCTCTAATGTGATTTATTTCCCTTAGATATTCTCTTCACTTGAGTTGTTATGAGAACTACTTCTTGTTGTGGAAATGGCAGATATGCAATTAGCATAAAAATGTAAACATATGTATTATAGGTAACAACAGCTAGGTGCAGTAAACAGCAGTTAATAACATTAATCAATTAATATAAAATTTGATTAAAGCTATATAAACGTCTAGTACATTCTATGCTATGAATTAGTCAACCAAGTAAATATGTATTCACAGCCATGTAACCAAAACCAGTAATTCTCTTTCCTTTTAGAACGTTTGTCGTAAAAGCAATCTTCATTGATTTTAACGGCTACTAATGTGTGCAATACAATAATTGGTAATTCTTTAAAGAGCATACATTTTCCTTTTCTTGTTCTTGTTCTTCAATAGCTAAATTTTCCGTTGTAATCTCAAGGTTCTTCGGCATTGTACCTCGTGATAAAATCATATATTTATCAGTTTTCATATTCTATTGTATAAATGCGAGAGTAAAAAATGGCATTGATATGTACTTTATGGTGTGATAAGTTACATGTGCATAAATGAATTAAGGACTCAATTACCAATTAATATAGACATCAAAATGAGATGTAACGTCCTTCAATTAAAACTTAAAATCTCACCATTTGTCTTTTTTATTAAAATATATATATATATGTGTGTGTGTGTGTCATATATCAATTCTATAACTGATAGAACTGTTGACAATTCAATGTGTATATATATAGTAAGCAATTTGCTACTATTATAGATTTCCTATTTAAATATTGCATTTATTTTCTATTCTATAGTCAGTTTCTAAAATCCAAATAATGCTCAATAATTAGTATAACTTGAAGAACAGGTTACTCCCCTGCTCCAGCATAAACATAAATCTATAAACATTGATCCATTAGAAGCATCATAGTCCCACCCATAATTGCCATAATTGGGTACTTGGAAGCTCTTCTCATTGTTCAATTGCCCTGTATCTCCTCCTATCTCTACTTGCCATTTTCTCCCCATATCTCGCAAATATTTCTGCTAAATCAAACAACCAAACCTCTCTCAATTTCTTCGCCACCTCCTCAAACATAATCACCCGTTCCTCGTTTGAATAATAATGCAAAAATCTATTGTATTCAAACCTAGGAACAATTCATCACTCTCTCCACATACTTTGTTGCTTCTAAAGACATCCATGCCTTTACTAAACCGCCAACAACTTCACTTGCCCTTCTCAACTTCAAAAGCCCTTTGATCACAATCCATGAAACACACACTTATATATGGTTTCTCAATCCCTTCCATAATCTCATAAGCCTCTCTAACTCGAGCCTTTGTCAATACCCCACAAATTAGTGACCCCAATGTCAAATTATCAGCTTCAATCCCTCTCTTATGCATTTTCTCAAACACCAAATGAGCTTGCCCAACCATACTTTTTTTTTTTTTACACATCCAAATGATTACAAGTCGTTGATAAACCCAAATCATCAATCATTTTGGTCCTCATTGATTGAAAAAGCTTCATAGAAATGATTAGTCTTGAAAAGGGTCTCCATCATTGTCTCAACTGTATATCCAATTCTGTTTGCAACAGCTTAAGTATGCCTTCTGAGACATAACCACACTAACCTATGCATTGGCAACAAACACTCGTGGGATAATGTTTGGTTTTGTAGTCCCACATCGAGAAAACATAAATGTGAGGTATCTAAAGAGTCCTATATATTAAGTTGAAAGCATAACGGACAACATACTTACCTGGACGGGATCAATGGGCGATCAATAAGGCTTATGGTCTAGGTTGGTGACCTCCATTGCACTCAGGAGGGGTGCTCGCCTAAGGTCTACTCAAGTGGTGGAGCCTACGTCATAATTTGTGATAGTGGGGGCCTACGTTCGCGCGGCCCCTTCCCAATCTTTAGTCCAAGTTTTTGTGTAATTTATATATGGGTTGGGTTTCAATGTTTGCCCTAGATTTCCTTGTTCTTTTTTTGGGTTAGGTTACAAACCTATCAAGTGTATGCTGCTTCGAATAAAAGTATATGGCTTTCAGTTTATCCAAGAATGCTAAACATATTAAAATAAGTGACCACCAATAGTTGTAGTAGATTAAGATTGCACAACTATTAATATCTCTACAAAAGTAACCAGTATGGTTTTCCCTTTTTATTCTACCTCTATCTTATTGTCAGTTGGATATCTTGCTGGAGAGTTCCATTCCTTCCCCGCAGCCTGATCAGTGGGCGCTTCAGGATGCAGTTTCATCATTCTGAATCACGTGCTCCAGTTTGTTACCTTGGCGATGAACTCTTCATTTCTTTCTCCTTTGTGACTCATTCAAGGACATTAGTAAGAAAGCTTGTAAAAGCTTCAGATTCAACCAATATCATAAAATGACGAGCCTCAAAAGCATATGATTTTTTGCAATGGTGTCCCTTGGATGCAGCAGACTTTGGCTTTTCCGGGTTGCCTTTTTCTGATTGTTCTGGCGCTAGGGAATCGGTTGATGGTAAAGCTTCAGCATCAACAGCAGCAGGTGCATCTTAGTGGATTGAAAACAATCTTCCATGCCCCTTTTGTCTTTTCCCTTCACCTTCAAGAAAACTAAAAGCACTAGTCCTGGTAGATGCCATTGAAAGGATTTTTTCAATAAGCCTAACCATTTAAACCTTTCCCTTACTTAGCTGCTTATAAAGTCCATGTTTAGGTATCCTAAAGCACGCTCCTCACAATCTGATCGTCTGTCTTTCAGCTCATCAAGCTCCACGTCAACACTCAAACATACTTTACTGATTCCCAAACTTCTGCCCTATCAATCAAATTTATTTTGTAAATCCTATTTGGAAAGATTCGCTTAAATTATTCATTTACTTATCAATTTACCACCATTCCACTCTTTCCCCCATTGATTTCATAGCATACACTTAGTCAAAATTGATCACCCCATTTACATGTTCAAAGTACAAAAGTGAGAAGTGTTGTGGAAATTCCACATATTTATAGAAAAATATGAAGTACAATGACACCAATCCGAATAATCTAAGAACAATTCTTTCATTAAATTGAATAATGCGTCATTTGAACAATATGGATATAATAGTAAACATGAAATTAACAAG